ACCTGCTCAGAACTACAGAATCTTATCTCATCCTTTAGAGAAGGAAGGGGTCGGTGGCCACATATGAGACAGGGAACAAGGAGGGGGAATGTTCTTGGTCCTTCCTAGGATGTTCTTTCTACCACAGGTAACTGCTCAATGCCCAGAGTCAGAGAAACCCATAGATCTTTTTTCTTTCCCACAATACCGAACAAAACTCATAGAGGCATACCCATATAGTTTTCTGACCCTAAATTTTGTTTTTCTTAAGCCTGTTAGCACTAAGACATCTGCTGTAAAGAAATCCACTTTATACGTTTCATTGTTTTAGAATACTTCTGTGCTTTGGTTGATGGCTCCATTTATCCATTCATTCTTAGATTTTCATAAGCAAAGCTTTTGTGCGGTGATAGTCACTCTTTTACTACATATCAGAATGTCTTCACTTGCCACTTCTTTGATGTGGCATCACTATACATCCTGTAACAATGTTACACTGCAAGCCACAGAAAGCAGTAAACAGAACTAAGGGGAGGAAGGATTGGGCTGTCAGTGTAAATGTAAATAGCAGCTGTTCTCAAACTGTTTTTAAAACTGCCACACAGTGAGAGCTTTGCATAAAATGGGACAAATCATTAAGAGTCAGGTTTTAGCACAAACTCAAGAAGCGCGCTACCCTGCTGCTAGCACTGTTTATGTCAGAGGTTCTCAACCTGTGAGTTGCGACCCCTTTTGGAGGGTGGAAGGACCTTATCACAGAAGTCACCTAAGACCATCAGAAAGCCCAGATATTTACACTGTGATTCAAAACAGTAGCAAAATTCCAGTTACAAAGAAGCAACAAAAATAATTTTATGTTGTGGAGGGTTTCAGTGTTAGAAAGGTGGAGAATCACTGATCTGACAGTCTCTGTGAAAATATTACTTAAATACCTGTACCTGTGTGAATGATGGATTGTGCTGCTACTTTGATAGATGTAACTTGGCTTACTATTCAAACCTAGAAGGGAACACAGTTCATGCCATCATTGGGCTGGTTTGAAATGATCTTTGCATGCTAAGAACTGCAAGTTTATCCTGTGGTTGGGTGCAATCACATTCATTGCTTGATGGATCCAACTTTTTATTTTCAAATGTGAAATTTCATAGATAATTCATTTTGTTATTTTTCTAGTAAAACTGAACACTCTTCATGGCATTGCTATGTCCTTTTTTTAAAAAATAAAATCTTTATTTCTTTTCTTCAAATATGCATGTAATCTTCTCCCTGAATCAGTTAGGGTGATAAACTATTAATAATCAACATTTTGAAAATGCTGCTTGTTCATTACAGCAGTACTCAAAACAATGGTCCCATTAAGTACTGAGTATGCAGAGACCCTTTATACTTCATCATAGCGTCTCTCCGTTTTAAATGGAGAGACACTTAATATTTCCACACAAGTCCTAGCATTGCTCATTGGTGGTGAATGGGGCATGCCTTAGTCAGCTAATTAACAAAGTACTGATAGTCTTATTTCATTGAGACTGTTTCTTGTGGGGGCCAGAGGCAGCCACTTATGTGGTCACTGGCCTCCAAAGGGCCCAAGAGCATCCCTTTCCCTTGTTTCAGGCTCTGAAAGGGAACGTCAAGACCCAGAGTTATAGGTGCTATCCAATCATGTGACCTCATAAGATATTCTGAGATCCTGGACCCAGAAACTCATTGAGACTTTTATCCCCATTGAGTTAAGCTCTTTTGCAAAGTTCTAGGATAGGTTATCTCGTATTGTGAGAAGGAGAGAAACATTTGCAACACATGTGATTAGATGAAAACAAAATCACTGGTGATATTAGCATCGATTGACAATAAATAAAACATGAATATAGTTGCATCGATGAAACTGCATTTTTAAACATTTAGTAATATTTTGCTCACTTTGAAAATTCCAAGCAGGTGCTCAACTACATCTGTCAGATACAGCAAGTTGCTTTGTTGTTCAAATGTTCTTTTCTGAAACAGACAAAAAGGAACCCTTTGTGCACAACAAAAACAAAACTTCTCTTTAAATGATCTTGGTTAGAATTGTGTGTGTCTTTCTGTAGGGTTGTGTGTGTGAGTGCCCATATCTGAGGAGATCAGAAGAGGGTATGGTATCTCCTAGCGCTGGAGTTACAGGTATTTGTGAGCCACCCTATGTGGGTGCTGGGAAACAAACTTGCATCCTCTGTGAGAGTGGCTGCTCAGCCACTTCCCAAGTGCTCCAACAGTTCATATTTACCCAGCAGACACGAAGCACACAAATGAGGGTAAAGGTGTAAGTCAAGGGGACAAACGCTTGCCTAGCATGTACACAGCCCTGACTTGGTGACACCCTACTTCCCTTTCACTCTATCTCGGACGACATATAAGCACAATCATACCAACAAATCGTGATAGAAGTGTGCCTAGTCTTGTTTCTTTGATTTAGCATACTTTGGGGAGAAAGTTTGGAAAGACTAAATATAGAACCCCAGTTAGTGATATACAAACATTTTTGAGAGACACATGGCATTTATTATGTCCTCTGAAAATAACATGGGTAGAGGTGTAATACAACACATAGCTATGTGATAGAGCACACTTAGTAGATGGAGAATGGATATATAGGTTTTTATTGTAAAATTCTTTCAACTTTGCTCTGTGTTTTATGTGTGTATGTATGTATTTATTTATTTAGTTAGTTTTGGTTTTTCAAGACAGAGTTTCTCTGTATTGCTAGAGCCTGTCTGTCCTGGAACTAGCTCTGTAGACCAGGCTGGCCTCGAACCTCGAACTCACAGAGATCCACCTGCCTCTGCCGCCCCAGTGCTAAGATTAAAGACATGCACCACCAACACCTGGCTTTTGCTCTGCGTTTTCAAAAAATGTGTCTGAGAAAAAACTTTATTACAATTTGTAGTTATAAAAATGGTTGAGTAACTCTTTTATGGGGACTACTTCCTGAATATGAATATTAGTTTCTCTGTGTACTGTGGCCCTCAGCTGCCTTCCTGCTTTTTATGGCTGTTAACTTTGTGGATATAAATTTCCCAAACTGAAAGGCTTATTTTTAATAGAAAAACTATATTGTATAAGGCTATTTTATTGCTGTCACCTAGTCTGTCTGTTGTCATCTCTTCTTATCTATGAGTGTCTCTCCTCAATGAATGATCTTCATGCACACCTGGTGTCCATTCATCAACCAGTCTGTTGTTCTGTGGGTACACAGCAAGTTCAAGTCCGTAACTGCTCAGAGTATGACACTGGACAGGTATTAAGCAGGGGTCACATGATACCATCATTGAGCCTTTTTTACCAGCTTCCCTGAACTTTTGTAAAACACTCTAACAATCACTTGATGTTGTTTGTAATACCACATCTCCTATCCCTATAACACTAATGCACATGGGTAGGCTATACACAGTGCTTATAAAGATGCAATGAAAATCATAAACAGCTATTGTAGTATTCAGTTTCTTCTTACTGTTATGGATGCTATTGTTGTCATGACTGCCTCAGTGTGTGTATGTGTGTGTGTGTGTACATGCTAGAGAGAGGTCAGAGGACAATCTTGGAAAATCTGCTCCTCCTTCCATCTTTCTTTTGGTCCCAGGAATTGAACTCAGTGTTCAGGATTTTGTGGAAAGAATTTTATTCACTGAGTCATCTAGCCACCCTGTTCACCCCTGGTTTTTTAGACAGGGTTTCACATGGTCCCAGCTGGCCTCAAGCTTGCTCTGTAGCTGCCTATTTTTCTTCTGAGCTGGCCAGCAATCAAACCCAGGGCCTCATACACACTAGGGAAGCATTCTAACAACTGAACTACGTCCCCAACCCAGAGATAGTAGTATTTTGAGCCTCACTTTGTCTTCCTCATTAGGCCTGATTAAGACTGCCTTGAAAATGGGCTGGAAAGATGACTCCATGGTTAAAAGTGCTGGCCATTCTTTCAGAGGATCCAGAATCTCAGCATCCACATTGGCAGTTCACAACAGTTGCCAATATTCAGGCTGAACACCAATGCATGTGCACACATGTGCACACACACACACACACACACACAAAATCGCCTTGAATAAAGTTGGCACTTAGTACATATGGTATAAAGATGAATTTTGTATATTTGTGTAGGCATGCACTTGCTTCAGATGGACATGTATGTAGCTGGGGATTAAAACTCATGCCTTGTGCATGGTAGGGAAGCAATTTATCACTGAACTATTGAACTATTCTAACTCCAAAAGTTGTATTTTTAAATAAAGTTTACCTATTAGGAAAGATTTTTGCTTAACTAATTTTTTAAAACACTGGCCTTACAGCATCCATCTTCAGTAAATATTAGTTTCTTGAGATATTCTTAGCTCTCTCCTTAAAATTTTACTTGCCATCAAGTAAAATTCTGTGGACAAACAGAAGATGTTTATGATTTTGTTATGTTCTGCATTGTCCTAAACATTACAGCATTTCAGAGCCTTCTGAAAGGCCTGATATTGACAGTACTCTACACATAATAAACTGTCTCTAACAGAGCAATGTGAAACTGGTGCAATTATTCCATTTGCTAAGTGTAATAACTTTCAAAGTCTCTTGAGCCCATTGCTGGATATTTTGATCAGTCTCATGGAAAAGCTGTCATAATGGTTCCTCTATAGATTATAGACATCAGACTGAACAGCAACAAAAAGTTCTATGGAAGGAGCTTTTTTTTTCCCTTGGTGCTTGTTGAATAGAATCTTGGGACCCATGTCTGTCATGCTGTGAGACATTTAAAGAAAAGAGTCAAAACTCCTGAGTCATGGGTTTGTTTATTTTTCTTTTCAGTTTTGCCTAGAAAGTTCTCTGTTCCCTGTTTCATCAGCATTGCCACAGGTGACATTCCCTCCTGTTGTTTTTCTTGCATTGTATAAATTGGATAGAAAGAAAATGATGCATCTCATCTGTGAGAGTCAGGGAAAATTCCGAGCACTGCTATTGTAAGGAAGGATCTGGGTAAGACATTGACCTGTGCTTTCTGCCAACAG